TTCATACCTTTCGGACAAACTCCTTTGCAAGGCTCGCATCTTCTAGAATCCTTTGTCATATCGTGATGAGATCCTACAGAACAATGTCGAACACATGCATCCCTTTCCACCAGCAACTCTTCTAAAATCGCAAAGAGGTTTAGGTGGTGTCTGGTAGCCGACAGAGCTAGGTAGATCATACTCACTAGGACATTCCTCAACACAGTATCGATCATAAACATAACGTCCTTTAGGATTTGGAACCAACATTCCCTTTTTTGAATCATGAACCATCATAGGTGGGCATTGGTGTACGCAAACTCCATCAAGGCTCAACTCACGACAAGCCTTAGATAATGGAGATTTGGAGTATCAGATTTCTTCATTCTTGATGCTTTTGACTAACCACACACTGATGAGCACCACGTCCGGTACAACCGCCCGTGCAAGCTTCATGGCAGCACTCATACTCACTTGAATTAGCAGGTAAGAAACATTGGCGAGAGGCGCATTTATCTCCGCAGACGGATCGGTACTCTGCAGAAAAGAATGTAGCAATCAGTAATTTCATATTTTATTGTAAAAAGCACTTCTTGAGTCTCAGACTACTAAAAAACGAAGCTAATAAATGAGGATGGTGACGTGAGGGGCTTAGAGAGCATAGTTATTATACTAGTCACATATTCAATTCCATCTTTTAAGAATCCAATTAAACGGCCACGACAGAACTTCCTAGATGGGAGAGCATCTAAAGCAAAAACTGTTGGAAGAAACAAATTGGTAACGCTAGCGCCCACGAGATAAAAGCCTGATCCGTATAAAATTAAAATATAGAGAAGCTTTTAATTTCCCAAGAGGATCGAATAAGAAGGTTTTAGAAAACGAGTACATCTCCTTGCATAAGAATTCCGTCTTTGAGAATGTCTACGAAACAATAAAAACAAAATGTTTTTCCAGAAGTTCTTAAGTTATTATTCAGAAGTGCAATTTAACGCTTGGAGTATATTACCCTACATATGCGCTAAGCCAATCATAATTTCATGGCAAA